ATATATATATATATATATATATATATATATATATATACACACATATACACATACATACATACATACATACATACACACACAGTATATATGTACACAGTATATATATATTAACATATGTACCTCCTCTGAGCCAGTGACTACAGACTTTGAGAAGTTTTTGGTGACATCTGGTGGTCATGTTACACTATTGCCTCCCTTGCTGTGATTGAAGCTCAAGCCCAATTTTTGCTTGAGAGAGCACAGCCGAGGCACAAACTGGGGAAATATAGAGCGGCCCTGAAAGCTCAACGCACCGCAACTTAAGAAAACAAATGCGAAAAGACACAAGCAAATAAAAAAAAATGCTGCAAAGTGAGAAAACCCAATCGAATAAAGAAATGCACAACAGAAATCACTATCAAATACAGAAATGCTGCAAGTCACACCTTCTGTGACATCACTGATGGTGAGGAGCAAGTACTCACCTTCGTTAAAATTAGTAATACCACATTGTTAAATATACATACATAAAGTTAATTTAACCTACGTTTTATGCTGCTAGGTGGCTTAATACATCATCAATTAGTAGTTGATTCAAATTTTTGATTAATAATCTGAATCTGCAAACCGGTAACTGATGTGTATAAGCAAGTGACACGTCGACTTGTGTCAAGGGTTTTCTTGCTCTCAAGGGGACAAAAGTCAATCATGCATCCGCAAAGTTTGATAAATAGTTCAAAGGTTATGGAATATTATATATTGAAAAATACACTGTGATTACAAAGTTAAAAAGCAAAGCTTCCATTTTGAGGTATTTTCCACAAAGCTGAATGGACAGTTATGGAAATGATGAAGCTGAACATTACCTTTTGTAGGCTCTAGTCCCCTTTTACAGACATTTTGGGGTTTAAAAGTGGATTTGGATAATTTGAGAAGACATTCTGAAAGTAACCCGTTCCTTTGAGTTCACTTAAACCATTTGAACACAACCTTACTTCACCACACATCTCCTTCCCTCTCAAGCCATATTGCTGGATTTCCATGAGGGTTCTGTTACTTTCATGCAGAGTTGAGTACATTGTTTGGCAAATCATAAAAAATGACTACTCAGCAGGTTTTAGTTTCCATACTTGACTCAATTGTTCAGCTCTTGCAGTGAAGCTTAAAGAAAAGCACAGAAAACTAAAGTGAGTTTCCTCCCTGCTGGTTTTCAATGATTCAATAGGAAAGTAGTTTAATAGAATTAATACCTCAGTCATTCAATCTCACCTTGAAACCCACACCGATTTAAATGATGGCTTGGTATATAAACTTACTGTAATATTTCATACTTTCTCTGTATTTTGAGGATCATCCATTTTGGATTCAAACCGTGAGATGGCATATTGGCAGTAAAGTCTGTACTCACTAAAGAGGTAAAGACTGGCATTCTGGACGCCCAGTCGGTTCGAGGCCACACAGGTATAGTTCCCATAATCCTCTTCGGTGACGTTGGCAATCATGAGAATGGTAGTAGTGCCATGAATCTGGATATTGAGGCCCTGGGCATTGGACAGCCTGGAGAGGAGAGAAAGATAGAAAAGAAGCCATTTGAAGTAAATTGCAAAGTAATGAAATCCTGGGGTCTTTAAGCCAAAAGAGAGTTAGTGACATTTTGGGCAAAAATAATAGCGTCTGCTGTGTCTGTGCACGTAAAGGAGACAGAAGACTCCATTAATCAACCAACTAACTATGCAGATTTTCTACTAAAAGAGAATACGCACTTTGAGTTTTTCTTAAAACAAATGCCATATTTCCAGTTTACAAATAGCTTAAACGCGCCATCGCAGTGCACGTGTGTTTCCTCGTGTTCCCCACTCCTCTCGTGTTGTCAATGTCCCCAGTTTGTCCCTCTATGTGTGTGTGTGTGTGTTTGGTTGGTAACCTGGAATGAGCCTACCAACACACCTGCTTGCAATGACCACACACCTGGTTACAATCAGCTCATCGACCCACAGTACATCAACCCCAGCTTTCTCTCCTTCCTCTCACTGCCGGATAGTTGCTCCAGTCTCAGTTGTAGCAATGGCCGTTGCCGCCTACTCCAGTGATTCCACTTGTATATTTGTTACCTCGTCTAATGTTTGTTTGTTCCCTGTGCTCTGAATCCTGTTGGCCCGCCTGTCTGCTCATACCCTCTGCCTCCTCTGCTGCCACGCCACTCTCCTTCCTGCTGCTCTCCAGCCTCACCTTGGTCATCTCCTTCAGTAACTCCTGCAATAAACCTGTTCAACTTTATCTGCTTCCTGGTCTGTGTTGTGCGTTTGGGTCCATTTGCCAGCAACAGTCTCACTCTAGATTACCACCCTAACGGCAACATGGGGGACAGGATTCAGCTGTTTTCTGATGGATGTGACATCCTTGAGGCATAATACTGCTGCCTCCAGTGCGCACCGTCTTATTAAATAGATTTCTGTGAATCTCTACACACAATGACACATTCATTTTGTTAACGTCAATGTTAAAGGGAAAGTTTCTGAAAAGCTACACACTGAAGTCTGAAGTTGACATTTGAAAACAGCCAAATCTACATGCTTACAAATATAACTGACCTCAACTACCGAATCTCAAATCATAAAAATGCACAATAATTTAAATAGAAATGTCTGCTTACTGTATGTGAGTAAAGGTCTCAACATAGCCAACGGCATTAATCATATTCCAAAACAATGGTTACACTTGTGCTGACAATCACTTTGCAGTAGGGGTCAGTGGCATGTAAGTCAGCGCTCTTGACTGTAGGTGTTGTGACTGTTAGGAGGGGACGCACGTCTTCATCATTTGGGCTCAGCCTCTTTCATTAACAGCATGACGCTGCATTTACCAGAGAGCAAAGAAGTTTTTTGTTTTCATTTAAGTTTGCAAGAACTTGTAAACATGGCAAAACATTAGTCAAATATCAGATAAACATCGCTTATGAAATATGTCTATGGATATTTACTGTGCGGTTTGTCAATTTGTTCTTCACTGTTCTCTTTTATTGCTTTTATGTCTTTCGTTGTCATCAAACAAGCAGGGTCATTGTTGGATTAGTATGCTGCTGACGTCCTCCCCTGCACTCCTGGGAATCTTAATGACCACCAAACTTCTGCCAATCAATTATGTCAACCCTCGAACCCCTTCTCAGCACAAATTAATCGATACAATTTGCTGACTCGGTCCGTTAACCTCTCTGATAAACCGTTCCTTACATCATCACAACCAAATAAAACCCTTCAAATAACACGGCGCACATAATGGATTCTGCTTGTTCTGAGCTGATTGAGCCCTTTCGTATCATGAGTGAGGTGAAGTTCATTTGAGGCGCCTCAACTTAATCCTGCTTAAGTCTGGGTGATGTGGTAATCGGAATTTGAGCAGGGGAGCAAGAAGTTTGTGCTGACGCATACTTGGCTGATAGAAAGTATTAACATAAGAAGGCAAACGCACATCATGGCACAGCATAATTTGCCTGACTGGGGAGCGAGGACTTGATAAAGTGCTGAGGTCCTTCCCATAGAGACACCTTGGGAACGGTGGCTTTGTGTGTGTCTGAAAGCGAGAGTTAAGGGAGGGCACCAGCACTGTCCCCACTTCATCTAAAAGCAAACCCACCTCCCACGATAAGACCAGCAGCAGATATATTCTCCAGTGTGTCTTCATGAGAGGTGACTGCACTATTAAAAAGGTCTGCCTGCCCGCAGAGCATGCTGAGAGACCCTGCTATAGAACACAGCACTACAGGGAGCTGAAAGAAAACAGCTATTTGTCCTATAGATTACAGGGCATGATGCAGCAGCAGGGGAATAAACGGACCCAAACAGGCCGAAAGAGAAAGAACCCTCTTTTGTTTTCACAGTGACGGTTTCAGGTTGGACCATTTTGGGGTTTTTTCCGACTCTGTGCGAGTTCAAATACGCAGCAGCAGAAAACTAGAGCGTAAAGAACAGGAAACTGGATCTCTGGCCCCCAAAGTGCGTCTCCTTTTTCTATTTGCATTCATCGAGCTTGACATCTCTGCTGCCCATTTTAACTTTGAACGCGTTTGGCCCTTGCACGCAGATCTGCAGCCGGCAACATCTCTCACTTTTGATTTCAATATTATCCTCAAATATGCCCGTGTCTCTGCCAGCTTCTTCATCTGGCATAATAGTCTGGAATACATTATCAGAGAAGTTGGCAGAAAACGTGCACGTCTACCTATTTGTTTTGGAGGAACGCCTTGTTCTCATCGGTACTTGATGTCCTTCCTCGCAGGCAGAGGGCAGCAGTGTTTCAGTGGATATCTTCAGTGATCACTCCTTGATGCACAAAGCCACTCGCTCTAACTCACATTAAACCCTAGATTGAAATGATTTGACCCCTCTATTTGGCAGAGGGAGGGCGGTGTGTGTGCGCAGGGCTGCGACTGCCGGCCGGTAGAGATGAAAGAGCATGCAGAGCAAATCATCAGACGGACGGATTTGATTCTGTGGCGTGTGGGAGCATCTAAAGTAGGTTATCACTGCCAGAGAAAGTGACAGGCCTCTTATGATTCAAGGCAGATGATAAATGAAATCAAGTGTAGAGTCCTGCTGAGACAATAACCCAGAGATGATTGAAAGCGCTTTGGTGTAGGTGACAGCCATGAATCAGCTGACAAAACAACAAACATATCTGTCTATCATGTCAGCAAACGGCTCACGTTGGATTCTCTCATGTTATAAACATGGATGAAGGGATTTACTGCACACAGAACAGGAGCAAGCAACTTTAACACATGCTTTAGCAGATCGACAATTCTCAAGATTTAAGTACTCTAGTTAATTATGGGGTTCATAAGAGCTACTGCAAAAAAACTGGGGGATATTTTCTCAGTGAAAAATCTGATTTGTAGCTTGAACTTTAGGGGTTAGCATCACATAAAACACAGGCTGAAGGGGCAGGAAATGTACAGGTTGATCCAAGTTCCATCATGCACTGCTGCTGAAATGAGACACAAGTAGCAGGGAGGGTCGTGGCAGCCAGGCAGTAATATTTTTCAGTTATGGAATTCTGGCCAGCTGCTTTCATGATGAATCGGTCTCCACTGAGGTTAATTGGGTGCCTAAGCACCATGGAGACTCTCAGATCCTGGTGAAGTCAGAGATGCTGTGAAGCAATGTTTCATTTACGTTTCAGAGGATGAGTTACGTTTCATTAGCTGAGGAGGGCCACGTTTTCACCTGCAGATTTAGACTGACGGAGGATGGATATGCTCAAGGTAAGGTGAGTTAAGCCTTTCTAGTCAGAGGAGGAGAAAGGAGCGAGCTCTGCAGCCAAGTATGTGTGTGTGTGTGTGTGTGTGTGTGTGTGTGTGTGTTCACTAGTTTGTGCCAGGCAGTTTGTTTGAACACTAAAGTGTTTACTCCTTCAGTTAGATTTGTTTGAGCAGGTGAGAGCGATGCTTTTCAAACTTGGCACTAGATAACTGAAGCAAAAAATGTGTGTCTCTGTTCCAAGAGAGCTGCTGTGTGAGTTGTTTGGGGTAACATAACCCCCCATGAGGAAAGGAAAAGCTGGAAGTGGCCAGAGAGGCAAGGTTCATTTATTTTTGTGGGGCTGTCACAGTATTAATAAAATGTTACCATTTTTTACTTCGGAAACAAAGGACATTAAAAAAATAATGGGGGTCGGGGGGATTAAGGAAAACAATTAATCGATGTGAAATACAAGGCTTTGCAAAGATAAATCCTGCATCTGAGGGGTATCAGTAATTAAAATATGAAACATGGCAGTTTAGTTTGTTTGCCAAAATACCGTTAAAGGAAGGGATTAAACAAGGTTTGATTCAACAAGGCCCCAAAACTAATCAGAAAACTTCATTAAAACTTAACTGTACTTTTAAAAATGTAGCAATGATCAACGTACAGTGTTTTGTGTTTGAGGCTCAAATAATGAGAGGTGACGATCCAAACCATTAACACCTTTCTCTGTCTCCTTGCTAATGTGTTGTAACAGGAACAGGGGTTTGTATGTTTGCCAGTTGTTGTGCAGTTGTTGTGTATCACCTATTGTACTAGTGTGGAGTCACACCCTTGCTTTCTTCTTTCTACGCAGGAAAGGGGATTAACTCCTTCACTGCTGACATGACAACCCGCGGAAAAATGCCTTTTCTGACTTTAAACTATCACATATGTAGCCTTCTACTGCCTATCAGCACCCATTTTACAGGGTTACCATTGTAAAACGAGTCAGCTGGAGACTTTGTTTCAATCAAATCATGGAGCTAACATTAACTAACTAGCTGGCAAAATCAATATTTGCCAGACTGCTGACTTCTGCCTCTGTTCTGAAACAAAGAACCCAACTTCAAGTGGTAAGTCTGGCACTGTGACTGCTGCAAGGATCAAAAGCTTGACAGCGACCGTAACGAACACATTTTCTTGATTCACATGCAGATTTCAACCTGTTGTTGATGAGGTTAAACTGATTAGAAGGGAAACAAAGGCGGGAGCAAGACCTTAAAATTCTGGTAAATAAGACACAACAGGTGACAGTGCATTAGCACTGGGCAGGGCACTGTGAAATTAACTAGCCAAGCAAGGATAAATGATTTTATTATGGTGCATTAACATCATCATCCAAGGAGAAAGTACAATAACACTTCCCACTGGTGTAGAGGGAGAGAGAGAGAGAGAGGGGGGGGGGGGGGGGGGG